GTATATTTTGGTAAACTTTTTGTATGTTGTAGATATAAAATTTAACTATATATATTCATAAAAAAAACGTTTTGTTGCAATTATGTCCAACTTTGGTGCTTCAAATCCGTATTTCTGGTGGACTATTACTATTATTAAATTCTATTTTACTGAAAATATATACCATAAAACGTAAATATATAATACTAATAAATGTTAAATAAATGTATCTGTATGTGGTATTTCTATGTAATTTGTTATTAGTTATAGGAGAGACCGTATTCAACAGTTTTATTTTGTTTATAGTAATAGTATGGGGGTGTGTCTTTAATAACCAATCGCGTATAATCTCATTCACATTCAGAAACTGTAAGCAATAGCACTGCACTACGTATATTGTTACGCTGATTAAGCGCTTAGTCATTGCTACCAGTGTTTGGAAATTCTCTGTTGAACAAGGGCCACTGGTTCTTGGTGTACCGCAAGTAAGACAGATCATTATGAATCACCCTCTCCCTCATCTGTTTATCACTTGCATATTCATATATGTACAGTATTATATGTATACACAATGTATATAAAGGGAGATAAATTCATGTACTGTATACACAAATTATATAAAGAATATATAATTGGAGATAAACTGTCATCTATTATTGATGAATACTCAAATTCTCAAAAAACCTAAAAGGCTATAACTTTCAATCCAGTTCATTCGGTGAAATGTTGCCCCCCCCCCCCCCCCCCCCCCCCCCCCCAATTATTGCCAGCTGACTAAATTTACATTGTATAAATGGAGCAGATAGCTACATGCAGAGGTGATAACGCTGTTTCAGTTTCTAAAGGTAAATGGTACATCTACCTGGCATCACTGGAGCATCTTTGTAATTACTTTTCCCCACCAAATGGAGAGTTTATGAGAAACAGCAGCATCGTTCATGTGAATTGCTGTGAAAAACACAATTGTTCGTTAGTTTGATTTTGGAATCATCAATGGAGATCTTCCTTGGCAGCAAATACTCTTAATCTTCAAACCAGGGACCTCCTCTCATTTATGCTGTTTGCTGATTTGCTCCATGGCTCTTCACGCTCTCAATTTGGTGGGGATTCTGCACCAAGTCTGTTGAGGTTTACCAAAGTCTTTTTTTCCAAGTTTACAACCTTTTGGTTACTGAAAAGGTAGTCAACAAACTGCTTAATGTACAAAGTTAATTGCTTGGACCATCAATCTACGATCCAAGTTGGTTGGTTCAGGGTGCTGTAACAGAGCTTTTGTAGCATAATGATTAACTGGAATTATCTGTTTCTTGAAAGACGTAGGTGGAAGATTTAAACTACCATGATTTACTGTTTTTGTTTGCGAGTTTAATTGTATGGACATTATATTATCTCAGGTTTGCAGGAACAGTACCAGTGTGTCGAATGTTTTTAACTCTTATTTCATTTTTAAGAACAACGCCAGTGTTAACACACTGTGATTTGATTAGGCGCCCTCTATGGGCAGTCTCTCGATACTCCATCTTGGATTGATCGGACTGTTGTTTTGTTGGCTGTAATAAAGCTTTGTTGTACACTACTGCTAGTGTGTCCGATTGTAGTCTTTGTACTGTGGTTGTTTCTTTTCCCCACTGGCGTGGTGGCAGCTTCAAGGAACGTTCCCATCCACGGTACTGGTGAGTTCCTATGCCCATTGTTGAGCTAGTCCTTTTCGTCAATCACTGTACATTGACTATCGCTCCACCGTGCGTCCATCGGTTCTTGATTCCCTTTCAAGTGAAAGCACTAGCTGCCTAGGCCTGTTATTGTGTGGCAACTATGGTTGCTATGCGAGCACCAAAGCAATGGAGTCTTACAAAGACGGAGACTATTAACACATTTAAAAATTGGAAACAGAATTTAGTTTATACCTTAACACTAGATGCTAACTATGGCCCATTCCTGTTAGATGGCTCGTTTTGGAGCCCCAAAACAAAAGCTGCCCCACTCAGGGGTTTCACCGACGACGGTGCTGACGTTCCCGAACAGCGGCGTCGTACGGCCCACCAAAAGGTCACTATCCTGGAGCTTATGCTGGGGCAAATTGCAAATTATTGTCCTGTGATTTCTCGCAACACCATTGTTAAAAGTTCCACTTCCTTGTCTTAAATATGGCAAACCATCAGGTTACATTATGGGTTTCAGTCCACCGGTGGACATTTTATTGATTTTGTGGACATCCACCTAGAAGATAATGAACGGCCTGAGGACTTATATCAGCGTCTTCTTGCATTTATTCATGAAAATTTGTTAAAGCAAGGTGGCGGTATTTCCCATCATAACCAGGTAGTTGAAGAAGACGAGGAGCTTTCCCCCCTCCCTGGAAAATATGGTGGTCCTTATGTGGCTCTCTCTAATACATAAAGGCCTTCCAAAGATAGTTAAACAAAGGTATGGCACAGAACTTCGTACCAGAACACTTGCTTCAATTAAACCTGAAATCTCACAAGCTATTGATTCCCTTCTAGAAGAGTTACGTACAGCCAATGACACACGCGTCTTGCGTGCAGCAGCAGCACGCCCAGCAAGCATACCTCATTCCCAAAGGTCTCGTCGACCGTTCCAGCCTTCACGTTTTCAACAACCCAAAACGTGTCGTATCTGTAAACAGTGCGGTCGTTCAGACGATCGACACTTTCTTAGTCAATGTCCACATTTGCCCGAGTCAGATAGGAGGTACATTGCCAAAGCCCGACAGATCGTTGACATTATCGATGATAGTGCAGATTCTGTCGATGACCCAGTTAGTGACGCATTAGAGCCTTCTGCTCTGAGAATTCAGGTCAGACAGTCCCCATATCTAGACGCGTTTCACCAACATCATACCGTTCGAATCACAGTCGACTGTGGGGCAACAGGTAACATGATATCAGTTTTCACAGCCACTGCATTAGGTGCATCCATCAAAACTAGCTCCCAGTCCGCCCATCAGGCAGACGGATCATCCCCACTCATTGTCATAGGCGAAACCTCTATTGTGTTTACTAGGGACGGCAAGGAATTTAAATTTGAAGGTCTTGTCGAGAAACTCGATGTGGACGTACTCGCGGGCACCCCATTTATGGAGTTGAATGACATAGCCATTCGTCCAGCTAGGAGACAAATAATTCTGGGCGACGGAACTACCTATGTATATGGGTCTCGTCCTATACATCCTAGTCCTCCTAGCGTGCGCCGCGCATGCGTTCTGCGAGCTCCAGAGGGAGAAACTACTATTTGGCCTGGCGACTTTATTGAGTTAGATTTACCACCTGACTTCTCCCAGAATGATAATGTTTTTGCTCTTGAGCCTCGTGACACTTCTGCACTTGTAAGATCCTGGCCCCCGTACGACGTTATTTCTAGTGTAGCTGGTAGAGTCCGTATCCCCAATGCCTCTGGCACCCTCGCGCGAATGCATTATTGTTCCCAGAGCTGTGGTCGATGGATTACTCACCGCACTTCATGTCCGCCTTGATCATCCGACTTGTCACCAACTTAGGTTATCTGTGCATCGCTATTTCTATGCCCTTGATATGGACAAGTCTATGGAGCTGGCGTCTAATACATGTCACCACTGCGCATCTCTTCGTAACGTACCACACACTAAAATACAACAGTCCACAGGAGAGCCGCCAGCGATACTCGGACTTACTTTCGCTGCTGATGTTTTAAAACGAGAACGTCAACTTATTTTGGTTGTCAGAGAGACTGTCACCTCCTTTACCTCCACATGCTTGATTACGGACGAAACACACACCACATTACGCGATGCCCTGATTCGCCTGTGTATTGAAATGTGCCCCATGGATGGTCCCCCAGCGACTATTCGTACTGACCACGCCCATGGCTTTGCTGCAATTGTTAATGATGAGCTGTTGCTCAAACACAGACTTGTAGTTGAGATGGGCAGAGTTAAGAATATCAACAAAAACCCAGTGGGAGAGAAGGGAGTGCGTGAGCTTGAGGATGAGTTACTTCGCCAAGAGCCTAGTGGTGGACCTGTTTCACCTACAGTACTGTCTATTGCTACTGCCCGTCTCAACTCTCGTATCCGCACTTGAGGTTTATCGTCACGTGAAATGTGGACACAGCGGGATCAGTTCTCCCATGTCCAAATCCCTGTCTCAGATCAAAAGTTGATTATTGACCAGCACAACCTTCGAACCAACAACCACCGCTACAGCGAAAAATCTAAAGCGCCGACAGCCGATGTGGCACCTGATACTTCCGTTAACATCGGGGATTTGGTTTACATTTGGAGAGATCGTAACAAGACCTCTGCACGAGATCGTTACCTTGTTGTATCTGTTGATGGAGCCTGGTGCACAGTTCGTAAGTTTTCTGGCTCTCAGTTGAGAAGCACTAGTTATCGTGTCAAAAAGTCTGAGGACAGGTCTGAGACAGCCCTCGAAGAGCTTACATGTCGCGTGAACTCCACCACGAAGGACTCACAGTGATACATCAGATGATGAGTATCAATGCCCTCCTGTAGCTGATCCATCACCACCCACTCCACCTGCCGTACCAGAGGCACTCGCTGTTCCTCCAGTTGACCTCAAGAAGGCGCCTTCGTTGGAAGCTACACCACCATCTGTGTCGTCTCAAGATCATCCTGCAAAGCCCCTTCTACGCCGTTCAACACGTCGAAGGAGACGTCCTGAGCAATTCTCTGACTATGTTAAGGATCAGTAGTATTAGTACATGCTTGAATTCTTATAGGTTTAGGTTTATCTTCGATTTAATACTGTCTGTTTGAGTTTGTTCATAATCATTTTTCTGTCTACAACTCATAATATTTATTATGCTCTACTTAATGTCCGGAGGTTATATTCACGCTTGTACTATTGTGATTGACACGTTCTAATCTGTAATGATCTTAAATGTAGTACTGAATTTTATAGATAGTATGTTTGCCTCCGAGTGTTACTGTGTCAGTATGCACAGCATGAAACCGACAAGTGTTTTCTTGCTGTTTTTTTGTTGTTAATTTTTAGTTTTAAAAAAAAAGGCGTAATAAAGGAATAAATAAAAGGACAAGAGAAGTCACGCCAGTGTTAACACACTGTGATTTGATTAGGCGCCCTCTATGGGCGGTCTGTCGATACTCCATCTTGGATTGATCGGACTGTTGTTTTGTTGGCTGTAATAAAGCTTTGTTGTACACTACTGCTAGTGTGTCCGATTGTAGTCTTTGTACTGTGGTTGTTTCTTTTCCCCACTGGCGCAAGGTAACTTTAACTGTGACTCCATGGAGCAATGTATAACATGCACCAGAGTACTGCATGCTACAGGCACTGCTGGTGATGTTCGGACGGTTGTAGTATTCATCCCATTCAGTCCCTGCTAACCTTAATAGGGTTTACATGAGACGGTGTCTTAATAACCATTGCATTGTTTTGTTGAAGAAGTTTAAAGTTCAAAATTATTTTCCATACAACATAAACAAAATTGATACATATGAATGTAAATATAAATATGAATATAATTATATATATATATATATATATATATATAAAATAAGAAGTCAAACAAAGTTCTGTATCTGTCTCAAAAATAAAATATTTATTGTACTAGTACTTCGAACTACAGAACTTTTATATATAACTATCTTTACAGAGTTGAAGAAAATAAAACCATGAAGACCAAAATGTGAACAAATTACAAGAAACTATTTCAGTAAATTACTGAATCAAAAGTACAAAAGTGTTAGGACACGATCCAGTATGATGCCAAAATATTGTAGTACCTAATCTTGAGTCCCCCTGTTGACGAAGCAATTCTTAATTTGGAGATCAGATCAGATCTGAGAGTTTTTGGTTGTTTTTTTTTTAAACCATATTTATAGAGGGTGACCTTTCCAGCGTATCCTACAAGGTCAGCTGATATTCAGGGCCCTCTTTAAATTATATTAAATAAATGAAATAATGTGATGCTTTTATCAGCAGTCTCTTTATGAGGCTTAGGGAGTGGAGTTGTTTTTAGTCTGAGAAAAAGTCCTGTCGTGACAGGAATTGAACCCATGACCTTGGGTTTGCTGAGGACAAGGTGACATTGTGGAAGGTATTAAGTGTATATCAACTTAGGCAGATATGTTAACACCAACCAGTTAGTGGTTTCTACTACACTGTCCATTACAGATTGCAAACTGGTAGACCTTTCTTTTTACTCTGATATACTCCTAATTTCAGAGTCCTTTAGGAGGTCATTTTTACACACCAGAACCAAACCAAAGGCAGGCCACTACTGTAGCGCTGCTGCAGCACCACAAGACCACAAACTGTCTCAGTCAAAAAAGGCTGAGGTTGTTTTGCTCAGCTAAAATCAATGTTTTGCACCCTGCTGTTAGTTTGAACTCTAAATGTCAAATGGATCATTCTTGACAAAATTTTCAACAAATTATTCAACTGTAGCGGCTTTAAAATATTTTGTAGAGCACCGCATCATCAAGAGTAGAATTTGTGGGTCAAAATGTCAAAATTTAAGAAACATACATTGGTATCAGCTGCATGCAAAATACATTTAATTGAACTTTTTTTTCTAAATTGAACACAAGGTCTGAGTTTTTGAATTAGAATGCCGCTGCATCGCCTTTGTCAGACTGGTAGTGTTTATCTACCGAGAGTGTAAATCTCGTAGAAGTGATTTGAATGAATGGATTTGTGTATCAAATTTTTCATGGCACCATCCCACAGAGGGATGACCCAGACTTTTTTAAACGAGGGGGTAACAATTTCATATAGGCCTAAATGATTATTATTATTATTATTATTATTATACAGATATATGTATATGTCTAGTAATGGCATGATTGATGTTCAGTACACGCTATTACACTTAGTATTTGTATGCGATTTTGTATTTTCACTGTTAACCAAAAAAAAGACGACAGTGGCAAAAGAGGGGGAACGTTCCCCTCCCTAAATCTTCCCCTGTCCAACACTGTGGAAACCGAGGAACAAAATGTTGTGGCTATGGCAACTAGATGGCCAGAAATGCAAAAGAATATCCAGTGGGAGGTGTGTGAGGGAGCAAGAATTCTAGGAGGGGGGGGGATTATTTCTTGTGCTCTTATTTTCTTCCCAATGCATCACTGATCCCATTATATGATATCAGATAAAATAAAATGACTATTGTACGATATATAAATGAATACCGATGATCGAATTGCAATTTTTTTTGTTAAAAACTATTTTTCGGCAGCGGCCATTTTGAAATTAAAATTGGAGGCCCTAGAATTGAATTAAAAAAACTGGCACCCATTTTTTTCTTAATCAGTGATTTTTTTAGATATGCTTAGACATGTTTGCCAAGAATCTACCCAAAAAATTGACAAAGTTAAAAAATATGACATAAGACAACAGACTAAATGATGGGGGAATCAATTTCGCTGCAGTCCAATACCGTGAACAACGCTTCCCAGTGCGTCTGCTAATTTTTATTGGTCAGGGTACCGCGATCACGAGCCCTATGCTAGGCATTATGGGCTAGGCTTATGTGGGCTGGGATCTGCAACAAGGTCTTGGACTAGGCCTCTATACTATAGTAGTACACTATTCTCATGATCTTTTATCAGCTATTTTCGGCAACCATAGAGATTTTTAAGTTATTTATTTATTTATTTCAACAATATTTTGTGAGGGTGGTCCATCCAGCCTGAGCTGATCAATTGTACATACAGTACATACAATTAAAACATAAGTATAAAAATTAAACTTGATCTTTAAAATAAGCAAATTAATTAAATTAAACCAGGAAAAAAATTAATAATAACAATAATAATAATAATAATAATAAAAATAAAAAAAAAGATATAGGCCTACAGTATATAAATTATATATAATAATGATTTAAGAAAAACATTAAAAATAAAAAAAATAAAAAATTTAAAAAAATTGACATATTGGACAGAATAATAATTGAAATAAAAAATAAATCAAAAGAATTAATGAGAAGATAATTAATTGAATTAACAAAAATAGAAAAATTATAAAAGATTATAAAAGATAAATAAATTACAATATAAAACAGAACAAAATCACGATTAAAAATATTGCAACAAAAAGAGATGGCCACAGGGAAAATTACACAAGATTGGATGAAAAATAGCTAAGAAGGTTGGATTTGAAAGAAGAGAAAGAGAAAGTAGAACGGACAATCGGTGGAAGAGAGTTGTAGATGTAAGGAGCATTATAGCTGAATGAAGTTTTAAAGATTTCTAGATTTGGCTTAGGAATGAGAAGATCACCTTTAGTGGTTTTTCTTGTGGTCATACGGCCATTTGCAACAATCTTTTTAAGGCATTGGCAAAGAGTTTGTGGAGCAAGGTTATGAAGAGCTTTGTAAGATAAACAGCAGAGTTGAAATTGAAATCGGTGTTAAAGGGGAAGGGTATTAGCAGATCTGAAATGAGTGGGAGTAAGGTGAGTGGTAGGAGGAAGTTTCAGTAAGATCCGAATGGCTCTGTTCTGGATCTTC